CCTGTAATAAACAATAGTGTTGTCTGTGTCCACCCATCCTCACACTCTGAGACATGTTTATTACATCCTCTTGTTAATGTAGACTATTGCACTGTATTTCAATCGTTGAAACTGCACATATTCCTGATCCTCTAGTATTTTCTTCCATGCTGTAAATAAACACCAGGGTGTCGGCAACCTGCGGCTGGAGTCTTTTAAAAAATGTCCTGAAATGGAGTGGTGGAGGTCTATATTTTTATTTCTAGTTTGAATGTGGTTTCTGTAGGATGAAAAAACATTCTTAACGTTTTTAAATGCTGCAAAAATGTGCGTAAGTAATATTCACTGTTACAGAATTCAATATTCTGTACTAAGAATAAGTATGAACGATTTGCTTTAGCAGTCAATGAGGAAGGACTGCTTCATGTTTGTATTGAGAAGTTTTGTTACAACACGAGGTACAATGATGCGCTAAACACCGTTCACCGGTGATCACGTGAAGGATTCTTCATCGCAAATTCAGAGCACCCTATTTTCAGACTTCAAATACCTTCGCAATAAACGGTGAAAGAAAAGGCCATTAAGGACATTCCAGCTCCAGCAAACTTCAGCCTGTGATGTGAACTACTGAGCCAAAAAGCAGATTTATTTACTGTATTTCTACAATTGAATGAAGACAAAAAATGGAAGTTAAAGTTAAACCAGAGTCGTCCCGTGGTGCATCATTCTCTCCAGGACACGCTGCAGTGAAAATACACATTTGATAATCATGAATGCTTATTATGCATTTGTAGCCTTTACTTTGTCATTTAGATATTAAGCTAATGTAGCTAATACAGCTGCAGCCTGTGTTACCTTCATATAAGCCTTATACAAGGCTGTTTTTTTTTGCGGCTCCAGACAGATATTGTTTTTGGCTCTTTGAACCTTTTGAGTTGCAGACGCCTGGTATAAACAAACTGTAAAAAACGTGAAAAAACATGCCTGGGCCGCCAAGAAGGCAAAAATGCCCGGGCCGTTTTTTTGTCCCAGTCCAGCCCTGGTTACATGTACTAGAAGTCAGAATGAATCTTGACTAAATTAGTTGAAAATGCAAGGTTATTTATTAAATGTATTTAGACTTTATTAAGGACTCACACACAAGCACAGGATACATAGCTAAGAATAATGAGAGAAAAGTTTAAATGTTTAGTATTATTTAGTACAATTCTCTCTCATTTTGTAGTAGTCACACATACAGTCACAGAACTTTTCTCTTTTCCGGGTTGTGTGTGTTTGCTATCAAAACATGGTGTGGAACTCTTGATTCTTTATGCAGTGGTCTATGTTAGCTAACTCAATGTAGTGTTATGGGCCGGGGAAATCAAATCACATATTTGTTTTGCACATTGTGAGTCCTTATTTTATTTAGAAGTAGTGACATAATGAAAAGGTGGTCAAAAAGCCAATGTTTTTGCTCAGTGTAAATGAGGCTATATACAAGATTTTACAGTTTGATATTTGATTATTTGATTTATTTTTAATTTCCAAATAAGTACGATCCACACATGCTACGTATGAGTACTGGACAAAATCAAAAACATGTGGGGCGGACACAAAGGCCTATAATTCTAATTGAACACACTGGATCTGCTCTCAGCTCAACCCCCCTCTCACCTGTCATAATATTAGGCTTATTGTCTGTGATCCGTGTGGCTCAGTGGGAGCGGGTGGCCTTTACTGCACACGGACAGTTTGATGGTGAAAAGCGTTAGTTTTAATGTCACTTTGAAGAAATGAAACGGCAGCAGCGGTCAGCCCCACAAGTGTGACAGTGATGTATGCCCACTGGGGCTTTTCCTCAATCTTCATAAAAAAGCTTTTATGAAGTTGAACAGCAGGTCCTCAGATAAGAGATGAGGAGTAATGGCTTCCACTTTATACTCAAAACTTAATGTGAGAGTAATGTGAATTTAAGCCACATAGTGTGAACCCGGGGAGAATATCAAACTGGCTAATTGAAGCAAATGTTAGTTCAGAGGAAACAGAGCAAAGTGGCCTGGAAGTCTTTACCCACTTTTTAGTCTATATAGTCTATATCCTTGCAATTATTATGGTATTCTTACAAGTAACAAATAAATAAATGATAAACAAATAATTCTTATAAAGTAATCTTTATTCATAATATAATGCATAAACCAAGGTAGTCTGGCCTTAGCCATCCGACCAATCAGCGAGCGCGTGAGGCATGTGTTGTAGTTAGTTGTGGGTGACGTCAAGAGTTTGCGCCGAACGGACAGGTTGTAGTTTGGCAATGGCAAGAATGCCATAGTAAAGTAATCCGGTCTGGTTCTATCAAGAAATTGAAGCCGGAGCAAGAGGAATGTTTAGGAAATGGAATTGCTGCAAAGATTGTGCCGCTACTCCCCACAAAGGAGATGGCTAGGCTAAATGCTAACCACTCACTCGGGCGCATTACATACATGACTGTAAACTCAGATCCAATCTTTTCAATCTGCAAAAGGAGTTCACCCCTTCCACCTGTTCACGGAGCTCAATGGACCACCTCCTGACCTTAGTACAAAATGTAATTTGTACTATGGTGTGGTACAACCAGGCTAGAACCAAGGTAACAGGAGAGAGAGAGATCCCCAGAACACAATTATTATTATTTATTATTATTATTATTATTATCTATTTATTATTAATTATTTCACAATAGAAGGCTTCACTCAACCGCTAACGATGAGTGTGAAAAAAGTGTTTGGTTATGGTTCAGAATCTCCAAGATACGGCCAAAACAAAAATATTTCTGGCTGTTTGTGTAAACACATTTTTTTTACATTCATTAAATCAAACCCAATTTGTTTCTGTATTCTGCAGACCAGATAGCTCCAATATATCTGTTTTCTTAATGGTCAAACTTTATGGGAAGTGAAATAGTCTTCACGTACAGGCGAGTACATTACACTTCTGTAAA